TATTTGTAACGATTTACTTGATAAATTTGAGTGGTACAAATTGTGACTCAAAGCAGAAATTTTTTCCATTTGTGAGCAACAATAAGTGAATGCGTTCTACTTATCACAACTTATTTATCAAAAAGACAAAAGATTTTTTCCAAAATGCAAATTCAGGTCAGTATAGGAACTCTTTGGACACAGCAACTACATTACAAGCAACTCGACGTCATACATCTACAGTAAGTATTCATAACATTGTTTCATTTTTTTCGCTAACATTCAAAGAAACTCTTAATAACCTAATGATAGTTTTTCTGACATGTGACAAACTGGTTTATAATTGTTGCCGATGTGACCAAGTGTCCTTGAAATTACTCAGGATGGTTTAGATTCGAGTACTTTGGGGAGCTCCTTCAACAAACACTTTCGGGACTGACATATCTAAAGCAGTATTTTCCAACAGCTTCCTTTGATGAGGTGAGAAAAATTTTGGATAATGATATATGCCCATTGCATATTGTAAATCAGCACTGATTCTCATGTAAAGCCTTTTTCAATGGAACGTTTTGTCATTTTACGCGCTTTACTGAATTTTGCTGGCAAAGTTGGAGTAAGCGAAAAAAATAAAAGAGGCATAACAGTACTTAACATGCTATTTAAGGCCTACAACAAATTCTGCAGTATGGCACATTATTTTTTGTACTACTCGGTTATCGTGAGTAGACAACCACCATCAGTCATTGTGAAATGTGGAGAGGCAGAAAACCATCGACGGAGCCGGTTTTGGTTTAACACTGAAATAAGGTAACTTATCAATCTTTTACGTGAGCCAATTAAGAGATGAGTCATAAATTCACTGCAAGTATAAAGCGTTTTTCTGCAAAGACTTTTGTGACGTGGAATAATTTGAAATAAGATCTTGTTCAGAAATGAGTCTCTCATGAATTCCGAAAAAAGGCAGGGGTATTTTATTGCCAAAAATCACGAGTTCAGCAACTTGCTCTTCTTCCTTCAAACATTTTTTTGTTTGCTTCGCATTTATTTCGAACATAGAAAATTTAATATTGTTTCAGGGTGCTAGGAGGCCAAGCATTCGGTGTTGAAGCAGTAGGGGAAGGCAATGAAGTGAAATGCTTTCTAATCACGGACGATACAGCAAAACAACTGCTAAACAACGCTTATTTGGAAATGTAAGTAGTTAATCAAATTCAATAAGTTTTAGTCAACGCATATATTTCATTATACATTTATTGTAAAGAAGAACTCAAAATGAGACCATAACAATTTCTATGCTAACTCTAGATTTTTCAGAAGTTTCGGTTATTTTTTTCATTTTTATTATACAAAAATATGCTGTAGTAAACATGTTCCACAAATCAGTAATTCGTACATTTATCTACTATCTACTGAAAATTATCTTCTACGTTAGATTCGAATCAGAAGAGTTTTGCATTGAGCCACCTTCCGCTGTATTCCAGAAGAAAGACACAAGAGGGTTGCGAGCCAAATTTGATGATATGGTAGATTTATCTTCCTGAAGATACTGTTTTCTTGACGACAATTCTTTCAGCGGGTTGCTAAAAAAGTACAACTGCGACGAGATTCAGTAGCATCAAAGAGGTACTGTCTATGCTACAGTATTCGATTAAAAACAAATTGTGGCTTGGAGCTGGTCGGAAAGAAGGTCTGACCCTTTCATTAACAGTGTAGCTCAAACTATATGGCGAACGTTCACAGGTCTCACTTCCGTTTGCAGTGCTGGTTGGTCCGAAAACAGATGTAGAAGCAAGACTTTTCTTGGAGAGGTCATTTGCAGACTTGGTATGTTTTCAGCAATTTCTATGGCTAGTACCTATGAGAATTTTTCTCATAGGTACTAGGTACTAGCCAAAAGGAACTGCCAATCATTTTACTAGCCAAAGGCTCTGCCAATCATTTTACGAAAAGTCTAGCTTGTAAGCTTTTCCATCCTTATTCTGGAAGAGCTTGGTAATGAATTAGTAATACACTTTTAGGTTCGGCACCCACTATCAGACATTCCGACTCATGTTCCTTGTACAGAGATGGCAGATGCATTGGAAATGAAGTTTCAGGTAATTCATTACTCGAGATCATGCCTGTACCTTGCTTCATAAGTCGTTTTTTCGCAAGTTGCATAAGAGCATTTGGACCAAGCTCTTGCTTATTCCTTGAAGTGAAGCAGTCAAACTCAATGTCATAGCAATTGCATATCATAATTTGTCCGAATCTTTTGATAGATAACAGATTGTTAGACAACGGCTATTTTGCAGCAAATAGATTTGACTTATCAATTCTGCTCTTGTAACAAACAAACTATAGATATGCTAGGAGACATTGAGCTTATCAATTAAGCGTTACTTTCATTCCTTGTGCAAGTGTTGCAAACTATCTACTTTTCTTACTTTAGGCTATAGTGGAAACACCACAAAAGAACACGGATGGACCAGCGGTTGTGCAACCTCGAATGTTCACAATGCAGGTGGAGATACTCGTTTTCACGAGCTTGCAAGAAGGGTTGTTGATTTTAATCAACAAATGTTCTACGATTTTAAGGCCAAACAACACCTTATCAACCGTTTGAAACCAAACCCGCAGGGATTTATAGCCCTGGACAACTTTATGAAGGTAAGAATGGGGTTGTTTGCGTAGTTAGAGGAAGTAGGGTATCTCTCATCTGTAGCATCATTG